CTATGTAAGTCTATAGCAAGCTAGCAGCACGCCAGGTCCTATGTAACAGTCTAGCAGCACGCCAGATCAACCGTGACAGTCTAGCAGCACGCCAGGCCCTACGTGACTGTCTAGCAGCACGCCAGGCCCTACGTGACTGTCTAGCAGCACGCCAGATCAAACGTGACAGTCTAGCAGCACGCCAGGCCCTACGTGACTGTCTAGCAGCACGCCAGATCAAACGTGACAGTCTAGCAGCACGCCAGGCCCTACGTGACAGTCTAGCATCACGCCAGATCAAACGTGACAGTCTAGCAGCACGCCAGATCAAACGTGACAGTCTAGCAGCACGCCAGATCAAACGTGACAGTCTAGCATCACGCCAGATCAAACGTGACAGTCTAGCAGCACGCCAGATCAAACGTGACAGTCTAGCAGCACGCCAGATCAAACGTGACGGTCTAGCAGCACGCCAGATCAAACGTGACAGTCTAGCAGCACGCCAGATCCTGCGTGATACGAACGGTAGTCGTATTGAGTGAGCCGCATAATTAATGAGCCCCCATCTCTTCCCTCCCCAACCCCCCCCCCTCCCCCTTATGTAACTCGTCATGCGAACTAATGGCCCCTAGACGGCCTGCCCCCAGAGTACCAGGGGAGTTAACTAGGTTTTATTGTGTGTCGACTCGGGGCTATTGTCGTTTTGAAGACCGCTACAAGAACTAGACGTCTACTTATAGCTTTCCGCGAGAAGGGAGGGTGGAGTGGTGAAGGGAGGGTGGAGTGGTGGAGGGAGGGTGGAGTGGTGGAGGGAGGTAGGGTGGAGTGGAGGGAGGGGGTCGAGGGGTTAAAATGACAAGCGGGAACATTTGCAATGAGAGATGGAAATGCGTGCGTGAGCTCTTGAGTCAACTGATGAGAACAAAGTAATGGAGATCAATACTAAAAAAAAACATCTTGGGAATGTTAATTTCAAATTAGTGGCCACGCTGGAAGCGCTAACATGTTAAGCCTTTCTAGCCCCGGGGACAAGATCAAGAATTGCGTTTTGCTGGCCTAAAATGAAAAACAAACGGGGGGAGGGTGAAGACGGGGGGAGGGGACGAGATGTATATTATGCAGAGGGGTGCAGCATCGCGAGCAGAGAAACCACAGATTTGCCGGGGAGAAACTCTGGCTGATCAACCCTGACCCTGTCGTGTTCGTGATCATTACAGGCGTGAAGAGGGGCGTGGGGGAGGGGGGGGTGTTCTTTGAATGTACGGGGACGCGGGTTAAGGTCAAGCACACTGACCCTGGCTGTGGGCATTAATACCCTATTGGGCAGAGAAAATTGAACGAATGAATGGCTAGGCTGAGTGGAATGCGACCATTCGGCTGGGGAATGAATAACTAGACAAGGGAATGAAAACCGGACAAGGGAATGGTGGCTTGGGAATGGGAGCTGGGCAAAGTGCCTGGTGTTTCACTGTTGGTCCACGTCCGGGTCGCCAGCTGGTATAAATAAAACACAGATAGAGGACCCCTATGATATAAAACGATCCACTCAAGACAGAGTAAACCTGAGCCAAGTCCTGGCATACAACAGGTAAGAGACGGTTGTCTCACGGCTAGTCAAGTTTACACACACAACTAAAGCAAATACACGCAGACAAAGATAGAACGTCAGATAAAAACCAGCTTTACTTCCTGCCCCTATCTGCCCGTGTCGTCCATTAGAATGGTATAAATGGTGGGCATTAGGGCCCATCCACCCAGCCGGCCCGGGTATTAATGGCCTCTCAAGTACATGGCAACGAATCATCGCCACACTTTCAATGTAAACCACGTTCGTGCACTCAACGCTCGCCAGATAATCAATACTAATTGCTATCAACAACACCCCCCCCCCCCACCCGCCTCCCTCACGCTTGTCATGATTAAATACAAATTAACTCCCACCCCGCCCTCGATATTTTTCAAGCATTAAATTGCACAGACTTGACAAGGCGGCGTGAAGGAGGCGTCAAAAAGTGGGTTTGTGTTGGGGGAGAAAGAAAAGGGGGAAAAGCAGCGTTGGGCAATAATTGCGGACCTATTATTGGAGGATTGCTTAAAAGGGTGTCGAGTATTAAAATCTAGCAAGTGGCTGACCACCCCCCCTCCCCCTCCCTTCCCCCAAGCCCATATTGAGACAAGCTCACTGCCCAAATCGAACCGAAAATCAATGATGCTAAGCGCAGTAAAACAAAACACTTTGATCTTTTCTGGCCCGGCGTTTTAATAGCGTTTGTCTTTGCTAAAGGCCCTCGACAGCCGCTGTACGCCACTCGAGATAGCAGTGTTCAATTGGTCGGGCTCAACAAGAATGGCCGCTCGAGGAAATAATGGCACCATGACATCAATGCCCGCCCGCCCCTCCCTCGCTTACCCGTCTGCCACCACTTAGCCAATTACTGACATTTACATAACTAATAACGGCATCAATGGCCTGGCCGCTAACACACACAGTGCAGTGATACGAATGCCACGTTTGACAAAGCGTGATGTGTACAAGTTCCCTCCACTACAATTTTAGCTTCATTGTCCTACAAGCAGGTTTAAATTTAAATCTATAAATTCAATACCAACAGCGACAAAACAAAACGATTCGATACTCTTTGATTAGCCACGCAATGGTATCGCTTGTAACGCCGTATCGATATTACAACGTAAATCCAACTCCACACTCAAGTCTTTAACACCAATACAAACCTAATCCCAAGGGTAAAAATAGCGTTATCGACACTTGCCGCTCTACAAATAAGTGGGTAGTTACTCAATAAATCCAGGTATGCTTGTTAACTCAACATTTTTTTAAAAGAGTTAAAAAAAAGGTTTAAAAACTACGTCATGAGGCGACAAGATTGCGGCCACGTGAGACTAGCCAAGAGCCCCAGCAACAAGAGCAGAAGCCTAGCCCGTGTTGGAGAACAGAAACCCGAGCTACCGTAGGATAATTACATTCGAGTTAAATACCATTCTACAATGGACAAACTAAACTTGTCTGAGGCCAAGAGTGAAACACGAGCATGCGATGGGGAGGTTGGTCCATACAGGGGGGAGTCCCTGAGGAGCCGGGTTATTGAATGGGAATTCCAATCAGAGCTGGCGAGAAATGGAATTTGTAAGGCCGCGCGTGTATCCCCCTGGGCTCACTCAAACCAGCTGAATCAAAGCCAAAACTAGCGCTCAGTGCTGCGAGACGGGGAGACAATTTGCCTGCTAGTTTTATCTCCATTAAATAAAACACGTTTCATGTGCTTGGGTCTGGGTGGACGGGAGACGAGAAAAGGTTTAGAGACAGGGTATTGATCGGTGGGTGGTGGCCAGCTGAGGGTAAGGGCTTGAGAAGGTGACCAGTGGTGGGCCCGTGATGAGATTGGTGGGTCGGTGGTAATATTTGTGGGCCGGTGGTGATATTTGTGGGCCGGTGATAAGATTGGTGGACTGGCAGTAAGATTAGTGGGCTAGTGGTAGGATTAGTGGGCCGGTGATAAGTTTGGTGGACTGCTAGTAAGATTAGTGGGCCGGTGGTAGGATTAGTGGGCCGGTGATAAGTTTGGTGGACTGCTAGTAAGATTAGTGGGCCGGTGGTAGTATTAGTGGGCCGGTGATAAGTTTGGTGGACTGCTAGTAAGATTAGTGGGTGTGATGAGATTGGTGGGCCGGTAAAATGATTGGTGGACTGGTAGTATGGTTAGTGGGTGATGAGATTGGTGGGCCGGTAAATGATGGTGGGCCGGTAAAATGATGGTGGGCCTGTGAAAAGATTGGTGGACTGTTAGTAAGATTAGTGGGTGTGATGAGATTGGTGGGCCGGTAAAATGATGGTGGGCCTGTGAAAAGATTGGCGGGCCTGTGAAAAGATTGGTGGACTGGTATTAAGATTAGTGTGTCATGAGATTGGTGGGCCGGTAAAATGATGGTGGGCCGGTGAAATGATTGGTGGACTGGTATTAAGATTAGTGTGTGTCATGAGATTGGTGGGCCGGTAAAATGATGGTGGGCTGGTAACGAGCACAGGTTAAGAAACCCTACACTGACAGAAGGCTCCGTGTGAGATAGGTAGGCCTGTGACGCCCAGGAAAGGTTTCGTTACCCCGCGGGATCGGCTGTTGAATGATGTAGCCAAGATAAGAACCTAGGCACCAATTTCATGGATGGAAACGATAATTAGTGTTGTCTTTTCGTGGGAGGAAAAAAAACCCAACAGCCATAAAGAATACAATAAAGATTAAAGCTGTAATCAGGTAAGCAGGCAGATATCTTACAGCCACATAAACTCTACATCAGTAGGCTATCATTACTTTGAGCATCAGCCATAGCGGGGGGAATGCAACCTTTATATTAGTTATAATAATACACCATTGAAATACAAGTATCATCTGTTATTATATACGTTAATAAAAAAAATGCATACATCGTAAACGATGATGAAACGGCTAAGTTTGTAATTAACTACTTGGAAGCACTGCGCACTTCCTCCCCCCCCCCCTCCCCCCGGGCTCTGAGTTCAAACGAAATGGCTTCTGTTGTGTCTGACGTCTCCAATTACCCCTTACCGTTTTGTGTTGTGCAATGTTTACCTTCTCACGGAGCTGAATTGTGTTGATTAAAGCCAATTACAAGGCGTAAATAGCTTCATTTCCCTGCGCGTACGTCTAGAGCAGCCTCCCCCCCCCCACCCCCGACAGACAGGCGATAAACACCAGACGAACGGACGTCTGCCATCACACGTTCCCCCTCGACACGTTAGAAAACATTGTTTTATGTGCACATCCTTACACAACACGACATTCCAAAACACGACAATCATCTGACAATTATGTATTCCTATACATGCTTACATTCGAAATGCTAAATTAATTTCTGCACATCCTTGAATAAATTCAGAAGAAAAAAATGCAATTAATTTACGACTTTATTCCACTTCCCCCACCCCCTCCCAGAAGAGAGAAGCGCTAGACACGGACATGCTTATAATTAAAGACACTTCCTACCTTATCGTCTCCACTTTCAACGTCACACTGAAAATGAGAAAATTTGGGACTGTATACATCTATACGTAATACAAACACAGGCAGTGTTATAACCCCACTGTCCTGCCACACACACTAGCACATGCTAAATGATGGATGAGATGACCGTGCTATAAGGGGACCCTCGTCTCGCGGGCCACGCCAGCGCCTGCTGCAAGCTGATCGCCCCCTGTAATGGTATTCGCATGGCCTGTAATCAAGTACCCCCCCCCCCCCCTCCTCCACCCCCCAGCATTTGTACAAGGTGCCAGGGACAAACGGTCTGGCCCACAGACCAGGAAACTTGAGCCCCCACCCCAGCGCGACACACACGACTACCCGTTGTTGTCGAGCACGTCTCCTCCCACGGCCGGGCGAGCAGTCGCATGGGACTCATTGTTCGCCCCCCGCCCCCAGCGGCCGGTGCCCCATGTTCAGGCAAACCTCGGCTTACACGCTCTGACGGTCGTGCCGGTGGGAGGGTAATCATATTCCACGCCTACTCCCATGCTCGAGTCGGACTGACCAAGTTGAAGGCTGGTTGGGTTACAGAGGTCAAGTCAAGCTAATGGCGTATTCGAGTAACACACGCACAGAATAATCACCATACCACAACACACGTCTTGTTTTACAGCTTTTACAACTAATGTTTACACTAGACATCAAACAAGTCTGTGATTGTTATTTAGTCTAAACTTGTTTGTTTGTATCTTTATCTTGGTTGCTTAGCGGTATTTCCCCCCTTTCAACTCAAGGAACAATTTATTTTAAGACCCACTTAAGTAAAACGTGAGCCCAATGCATCCATGTGGTGTACACGTGCATGTAGGTGCAATGACATAAAGGTTAGTGCATTTAGCTATCAAGCCGCCCCTGCATGTCTGCATATGGTAGGCAGCGGGGCGTACAGCGCCGTGCAGTGATCCTTGCTCTCTAGGCGTAACACAAGAAGCCGGTACCACATCTGTCCACAATTGTCTAAGCGACAACTACGTGCATGCTCAACATACATGACATTGTCTGCTCTTTTTTCCCCCCTAATCCATGGCTAGCCTGTATGCACCAACACAACATATGGATATGACCTAATACATGTTAAAGTACTATAATGGTAAATATCATGGAAATAATACCCTCATCGGACCGGGCACCCCCCACCCCTAAATGAAATGTGACACTACCTTAACAGAACCAGCACCCGACCATCACTGTGACCCTACCATGACCTGTACCATCACTGTGACCCTACCGGGACTAGTACAACTACCATCACTGTGACACTACCAGAACCACCACCATCACTGTGACCCTACCAGCACCCAACCATCACTGTGACCCTACCAGCACCCAACCATCACTGTGACCCTACCAGCACCCAACCATCACTGTGACCCTATCAGAACAAGTACCTCAATCATCACTGTGACCTTACCAGGACTAGTACCCTAACCATCACTGTGACCCTACCAGGGCTAGTACCCCAACCATCACTGTGACCCTATCAGAACAAGTACCTCAATCATCACTGTGACCTTACCAGGACTAGTACCCTAACCATCACTGTGACCCTACCAGGGCTAGTACCCCAACCATCACTGTGACCCTATCAGAACAAGTACCTCAATCATCACTGTGACCCTACCAGGACTAGTACCCTAACCATCACTGTGACCCTATCAGAACAAGTACCCCAACCATCACTGTGACCCTACCAGGACTAGTACCCTAACCATCACTGTGACCCTATCAGAACTAGTACCCCAACCATCACTGTGACCCTACCAGGACTAGTACCATCACTGTGACCCTACCAGGGCTAGTACCCCAACCATCACTGTGACCCTACCAGGACTAGTACCATCACTGTGACCCTACCAGGGCTAGTACCCCAACCATCACTGTGACCCTACCAGGACTAGTACTATCACTGTGACCCTATCAGAACTAGTACCCCAACCATCACTGTGACCCTACCAGGACTAGTACCATCACTGTGACCCTACCAGGACTAGTACCCTAACCATCACTGTGACCCTACCAGGACTAGTACCCCAACCATCACTGTGACCCTACCAGGGCTAGTACCATCACTGTGACCCTACCAGGACTAGTACCCCAACCATCACTGTGACCTTACCAGGGCTAGTACCCCAACCATCACTGTGACCCTACCAGGACTAGTACCCCAACCATCACTGTGACCCTACCAGGGCTAGTACCATCACTGTGACCCTACTAGGACTAGTACCCCAACCATCACTGTGACCCTACCAGGACTAGTACCCCAATCATCACTGTGACCCTACCAGGACTAGTACCCCAACCATCACTGTGACCTTACCAGGGCTAGTACCATCACTGTGACCCTACCAGGACTAGTACCCCAACCAACACTGTGACCTTACCAGGGCTAGTACCATCACTGTGACCCTACCAGGACTAGTACCCCAACCATCACTGTGACCTTACCAGGGCTAGTACCATCACTGTGACCCTACCAGGACTAGTACCCCAACCATCACTGTGACCTTACCAGGGCTAGTACCATCACTGTGACCCTACCAGGACTAGTACCCCAACCATCACTGTGACCCTACCAGGACTAGTACCCCAATCATCACTGTGACCCTACCAGGACTAGTACCCCAACCATCACTGTGACCTTACCAGGGCTAGTACCATCACTGTGACCCTACCAGGACTAGTACCCCAACCAACACTGTGACCTTACCAGGGCTAGTACCATCACTGTGACCCTACCAGGACTAGTACCCCAACCATCACTGTGACCTTACCAGGGCTAGTACCATCACTGTGACCCTACCAGGACTAGTACCCCAACCATCACTGTGACCTTACCAGGGCTAGTACCATCACTGTGACCCTACCAGGACTAGTACCCCAACCATCACTGTGACCTTACCAGGGCTAGTACCATCACTGTGACCCTACCAGGACTAGTACCCCAACCATCACTGTGACCTTACCAGGGCTAGTACCATCACTGTGACCCTACCAGGACTAGTACCCCAACCAACACTGTGACCCTACCAGGGCTAGTACCCTAACCATCACTGTGACCCTACCAGGGCTAGTACCCCAACCATCACTGTGACCCTATCAGAACAAGTACCTCAATCATCACTGTGACCCTACCAGGACTAGTACCCCAACCATCACTGTGACCCTATCAGAACAAGTACCTCAATCATCACTGTGACCCTACCAGGACTAGTACCCCAACCATCACTGTGACCCTACCAGGACTAGTACCCCAACCATCACTGTGACCCTACCAGGACTAGTACCATCACTGTGACCCTACTAGGACTAGTACCCCAACCATCACTGTGACCCTACCAGGACTAGTACCCCAACCATCACTGTGACCCTACCAGGACTAGTACCCCAACCATCACTGTGACCCTACCAGGACTAGTACCCCAACCATCACTGTGACCCTACCAGGGCTAGTACCATCACTGTGACCTTACCAGGGCTAGTACCCCAACCATCACTGAGACCCTACCAGGACTAGTACCCTAACCATCACTGTGACCCTACCAGGGCTAGTACCCCAACCATCACTGAGACCCTACCAGGACTAGTACCCCAACCATCACTGTGACCCTATCAGAACAAGTACCCCAACCATCACTGTGACCCTATCAGGGCTAGTACCCCAACCATCACTGTGACCCTACCAGGGCTAGTACCATCACTGTGACCCTACCAGGACTAGTACCCCAACCATCACTGTGACCCTACCAGGGCTAGTACCATCACTGTGACCCTACTAGGACTAGTACCCTAACCATCACTGTGACCCTACCAGGGCTAGTACCCCAACCATCACTGAGACCCTACCAGGACTAGTACCCCAACCATCACTGTGACCCTATCAGAACAAGTACCCCAACCAACACTGTGACCCTATCAGAACAAGTACCCCAACCATCACTGTGACCCTACCAGGGCTAGTACCCCAACCATCACCGTGACCTTACCAGGACTAGTACCCCAACCATCACTGTGACCCTACCAGGACTAGTACCCCAACCATCACTGTGACCCTACCAGGGCTAGTACCCCAACCATCACCGTGACCTTACCAGGACTAGTACCCCAACCATCACTGTGACCTTACCAGAACTAGTACCCCAACCATCACTGTGACCTTACCAGGACTAGTACCCCAACCATCACTGTGACCTTACCAGGGCTAGTACCATCACTGTGACCTTACCAGGGCTAGTACCATCACTGTGACCTTACCAGGGCTAGTATCATCACTGTGATCTTACCAGGACTAGTACCCCAACCATCACTGTGACCCTACCAGGACTAGTACCCCAACCATCACTGTGACCCTACCAGGACTAGTACCCCAACCATCACTGTGACCCTACCAGGACTAGTACCCCAACCATCACTGTGACCCTACCAGGACTAGTACCCCAACCATCACTGTGACCTTACCAGGGCTAGTACCATCACTGTGACCCTACTAGGACTAGTACCCCAACCATCACTGTGACCCTACCAGGGCTAGTACCATCACTGTGACCCTACTAGGACTAGTACCCCAACCATCACTGTGACCCTACCAGGGCTAGTACCATCACTGTGACCCTACTAGGACTAGTACCCCAACCATCACTGTGACCCTACCAGGACTAGTACCCCAACCAACACTGTGACCCTATCAGAACAAGTACCCCAATCATCACTGTGACCCTACCAGGACTAGTATCCCAACCATCACTGTGACCTTACCAGGACTAGTATCCCAACCATCACCGTGACCTTACCAGGACTAGTACCCCAACCATCACTGTGACCCTACCAGGACTAGTACCCCAACCATCACTGTGACCCTATCAGAACAAGTACCATAACCTCACTTAACCGTACCAAGTTATTAATTTTTTTTATAAAATAAAACAAGAAAAAAAAAACGAACATCAGCCATCGAAGCGAGTGGGGAAAAGTCTAACATGAGATGAAAAGTCAGATATTCGATAAAAACAACAATAAAATAATATTGTTTCTTGATTGAGTAGTTGATAATGTCGTCATAAAAACATCATGCGCTGTTAACTTTTACTGAAGGTAAACAAAAATACAAAAAAAAATTGGTTCGAAAAAAATACGAGATACAAAGTAAAAACACTAGATCGATAAGTAAAGAGATACACTAGCCAACAAAGAATTACACACGATAATAATACATTGATGTGTGTACATATACAGAAGTAATACACCTGCACAGATACACTGGTGATACATCAATGCATGTGTATACACTGGTGATACATAAATGCATGTGTATACACTGTTGATGCATAAATACGTATGTCCGCTTGTGTTCTACTTTATCAAAGAATCTAAACTTGAGGGAGTGAAGGGGGATAATAAACCGCATGCCAGCTTTGATATTGTACTATTCAGCACATCAAACAGATGTCAATCATGACTGTCCTCGTCAAAACAGACCACTGGGTTGAAAGATTTTAAGCGGATAACACAATCACACAAGAACATACTATGGCGCATGTGTCAAACGGCTTCCATGGCCTCCAGTGATAAACCATAAGCTTCTTATCACGTCTTTATATATTCTAGAGTGGCAGCTTAAAAAAACAAACGTGTCTATATCCTTACGCGCTATTTCAAAACGAAGAGGATAAACGTGAAGAAGGCTACATTTTTCTCTATTTGCACCAGCGGCTCTATGATAACTGTGAGAGACAGGGGGGGGGGGTGGGCTCAAAGGTCAACCAATAGAAGCTGTGTTTGTGTCTCCCATGAGGCGCATCAAAAGAGATTGTAGACGAACCACGGGCAGTATTGATTTCTCCATTGGACGAGTCAAAGATTCCCCTAGTTTCCTGGACGCCTGTTTGTGTGTGAAATAGATGCGGGATAGAAGGCACTGTACTGGGCTAGTCTTACACATAGCCGGCTAAAGGAAGGAAAGTGTCCCTAGCTAGTCTTACACATAGCCGGCTAAAGGAAGGAAAGTGTCCCTAGCTAGTCTTACACATAGCCGGCTAAAGGAAGGAAAGTGTCCCTAGCTAGTCTTACACATAGCCGGCTAAAGGAAGGAAAGTGTCCCTAGCTAGTCTTACACATAGCCGGCTAAAGGAAGGAAAGTGTCCCTAGCTAGTCTTACACATAGCCGGCTAAAGGAAGGAAAGTGTCCCTAGCTAGTCTTACACATAGCCGGCTAAAGGAAGGAAAGTGTCCCTAGCTAGACTAACACAACCGGCTAAAGGAAGGAAAGTGTCCCTAGCTAGTCTAACACATAGCCGGCTAAAGGAAGGAAAGTGTCCCTAGCTAGTCTTACACATAGCCGGCTAAAGGAAGGAAAATGTCCCTAGCTAGTCTAACACATAGCCGGCTAAAGGGAGGAAAGTGTCCCTAGCTAGACTAACACAACCGGCTAAAGGAAGGAAAGTGTCCCTAGCTAGTCTTACACATAGCCGGCTAAAGGGAGGAAAGTGTCCCTAGCTAGACTAACACAACCGGCTAAAGGAAGGAAAGTGTCCCTAGCTAGTCTTACACATAGCCGGCTAAAGGAAGGAAAGTGTCCCTAGCTAGTCTAACACAGCCAGCTAAAGGAAGGAAAATGTCCGTTCCTGTTTTCTTGGTTCAAGATACAGACTATACCAAGGTTGTTAACTCACGTAGCCCAAGGGAGACTAGCAAAATATTTATACTCCCGCTGACCCGGATGTAAATAGGTTTGATAATTTCACATCGGCTTCCCGCAGTCTGAAAGTACTAGCTGGAGGAGACGGGAGTAGACCTACATACGAGTAGGTCAACAGTGCCCAGGCAACGACAAGTATTTTTATAACGACGTCTAATCTAGGCAAAGAGCAGCATCAAGTTTTATTGATACTGATAGCAAGCACATACGTGGCCCAGCACACGAGGAAGTGCCTAAAGGTCAACAAGATCTTTTGGTGACTAACATGAGCAAACGTCTAGAGTCCACTTGATCGCTTCGAGTTACTTAAGTCGGCATGGTACGTACACTCGTCTCAAGGACAACCGGCGGCTCAAGAGCTTAAATAAAATAACAGCTCGGGCTCACAGAAGATACTCTTGTCTAAACGATAACAACGGCTTAGTGTATCAAAGGCTGACTCCTACTACAGCTAGCGTGACCGGAGTACCACATACACTAAACAAGATCGAACCTCCGTTAAGACAATGCGAACAAGAGGGTTAATGATATTTAAAGAGAGAGAGGGGCTAATGATAAACTGGTGTGTTACATATCCACACCAAACCCTCCAGCCCTTATCGCCGCGGCCCTACCATCAAGTGTTCTCCTAAATCTTAGGACCCCCATCTTAACCGGGCACCCGATCGATACTAACTGGCTGCCAATGTTTGTCTTCTGGCTGGAGTGGGGGCCCTCTAGACGCACAAGTGGCTCCTGGCCTACATACGACTCGCCAGGCCAGGCGACCTACGTGTCGTGTGGTAACGGTCTACAGTTTTAAGCCAGGCGACCTACGTGTCGTGTGGTAACGGCCTACAGTTTTAAGCTAGACCAGTGACCTACTGTGGTAACGGCCTACAGTTTTAAGCTAGACCAGTAGACCTACTCTGTTAACGGCCTACAGTTTTAAGCTAGTCCAGTCGACCTACTCTGTTAACGGCCTACAGTTTTAAGCTAGACCAGTGACCTACTCTGGTAACGGTCAACAGTTTTAAGCTAGACCAGTGACCTACTCTGTTAACGGCCTACAGTTTTAAGCTAGACCAGTGACCTACTCTGGTAACGGTCTACAGTTTTAAGCTAGTCGACCTACTCTGGTAACGGCCTACAGTTATAAGTCGACCTACTCTGGTAAGGGCCTACAGTTATAAGTCGACCTACTCTGGTAACGGCCTACAGTTTTAAGCCAGTCAACCTACTCTGGTAAGGGACTACAGTTTTAAGTCAACCTAATTTGGTAACGGCCTACAGTTATAAGTCGACCTACTCTGGTAACGGCCTACAGTTATAAGTCGACCTACTCTGGTAAGGGCCTACAGTTATAAGTCGACCTACTCTGTTAACGGCCTACAGTTTTAAGCTAGACCAGTGACCTACTGTGGTAACGGCCTACAGTTTAAAGCTAGGCCAGTGACCTACTCTGGTAACGGCCTACAGTTTTAAGCTAGACCAGTGACCTACTCTGGTAACGGTCTACAGTTTTAAGCTAGTCGACCTACTCTGGTAACGGCCTACAGTTTAAAGCTAGTCGACCTACTCTGGTAACGGTCTACAGTTTTAAGCAAGTCGACCTACTCTGGTAACGGTCTACAGTTTTAAGCCAGTCGACCTACTCTGGTAACGGTCTACAGTTTTAAGCTAGTCCAGTGACCTACTCTGGTAACGGTCTACAGTTTTAAGCTAGTCCAGTGACCTACTCTGGTAACGGCCTACAGTTTTAAGCTAGTCCAGTGACCTACTGTGGTAACGGCCTACAGTTTAAAAAATAACAAACATGATGGTACATACCACATAGCCTTGACCGGATCCTGAATGTGTACTCGCCTGCAATAAACCAAAACATTGCCGTTAAAACCCTGGCCACTTGTATGAGCAAACAGTATATTTATAATGAATATTCTAATGAATTAAACATGCGATCAATTGATAGATATGAGATAGCGTAGAGTCGGACGTGTTGTGTTAGTCCCACCCCCGACACATGCTGTGATTGTTCAAGCAAGTGTCACTAGATAACAAGCATCTTGTGATAACGAACCCCAAAGGTTATTTCTAAAAACCCCAGCCCAGATCGCGGCTCCGCGTTCATGTAGAGGAGCGCCGGGGCGCCTAGTTCACACGAGAAGGAAAGGTCTTTGAGTAGGGAGGAAGAAAGCCGCTAATGCAATCTACCTGCTTAAAGAAACATAGTGTTTTCATTCTGCAAACATTACGGCCCAAGTGTGCTGCTTTGCCAGCGTTAATTCAATTAGTGCTGAGATCAATGGACGTTACCTGCCTTTCTGTGTGCTACCGTGTTATGTGCTATAGGGAAATTGCTTTGAAATGTTACTTGCTGCGGGCTAATCGAATCAATAAGGGGAGGTAAGCCGGGCTGCTGGGGTACTGGCAAGTTGTAGAAGGGATTTAGATCAGGGAAAGATGAATGGGGGATGTCGAGGGCAGGCAAAGTGTATGTGGGACGTAGAAAGTAGGCAACTTGTGGGATGGAGAGAGATGGTCAATTGTATGTGGGGTGGAGAGAGTAGACAAGTGGTGAGATGTAGAGAGTGGGAAAGTGGTGGGATGTAGAGAGTAGGCAAGTTATGGGATGTAGAGAGTAAACAAGTGGTGAGATGTAGAGAGTGGGCAAGTGGTGGTATGTAGAGAGTAGGCAAGTGGTGAGATGTAGAGAGTAGACAAGTGGTGGGATGTAGAGAGTAGGCAAGTGGTGAGATGTAGAGAGTAGACAAGTGGTGGGATGTAGAGAGTAGGCAAGTTGTGGGATGGAGAGAGTAGGCAAGTTGTGTGTGGCATAGAGAGAGTGGAAAAGTTGTGGTATGTAGAGAGTGTGCAAATTGTAGGATGTAGGCAAGTTGTGGGATGTAGAGAGTAGGCAAGTTGCGGGATGGAGAGAGTAGACAAATGGTGAGATGAAGAGTGTAAATTGTAGGATGTAGGCAGGTTGTGGAGTGTAGAGAGTAGGCAAGTTGTGGGATGGAGAGAGTAGGCAAGTTGTGGGATGGAGAGAGTAGGCAAGTTGTGGGATGGAGAGAGTAGGCAAGTTGTGGGATGGAGAGAGTAGACAAATGGTGAGATGAAGAGTGTAAATTGTAGGATGTAGGCAGGTTGTGGAGTGTAGAGAGTAGGCAAGTTGTATGTGGGATCGAGAGAGTGAGAAAGTTGTGGGAAGTAGAGAGCAAACAAGTTGCAAGTGAAGGAAAGAAATATTTGTCATGACATCACACAGATGACGATACCTATTCGTCTTATCTTAAGCCAATGTTTTTATGTTCAATTTTTTTTCCCTTTCCTTAAGCAATAGCGTGAACTGTTGCTCTAAGATGTAAGGTGTTAACCTTATTTAACCAGGCCACCAGCACCTACAGTGCACCTTACGTGTGTACATCGGCAAGTGACTGAGAACACGTATACACAGCACACTACACGGCACCTTAACCCAGCATGTATAGAATGATACACTGTACAACATATATACAGACTACACAACACCACACACTACACGACACCTATACCTAGCATGTATAGAATGATACACTGTACGACGTATATACAGACTACACAACACAACACAGCACACTACACGACACCTATACCTATACCTAGCATGTATAGATACATGTATACTAAATACATAAAAGCATAAAGTGTACTGATAAACTAGATACGACGAGAAGCACTGTTAAAACAGGCTTAGGATTTGAGCCTATAATTTCCGATAGTTTCACCTAGTGGGAGGCAGGGGATGAAGTTACAGGTGTGTATGAAGATTTATGGAGGTATCCTGAACCCTAGGGGTTCTTCTAGCTTGTCAAATGTTGGATGTTGTGGGGGAGATAATGTATGCTCGATGGGTGGAGGGTGGGGGTGTATGTGATATGTGGGTGGGGGGGGTATGTGATATGTGGGTGGGGGGTGTATGTGATATGTGGGTGGTGGGGGGGATTATGAGCTTGGTAGGTAGAGGGTGGGTGTGTGCTTAGTGGGTGTATGGGGAGATGCATTATGTATTAGGTGGGTGGATGGTGCGAATGTGCTAAGTTGGTGGATGGTGCGAATGTGTTAAGTGGGTAGATGGTGCGAATGTGCTAAGTGGGTGGATGGTGCGAATGTGCTAAGTGGGTGGATGGTGCGAATGTGCTAAGTGGGTGGATGGTGCGAATGCGCTAAGTGGGTGGATGGTGCGAATGTGCTAAGTGGGTGGATGGTGCGAATGTGCTAAGTGGGTGGATGGTGCGAATGTGCTAAGTGGGTGGATGGTGCGAATGCGCTAAGTGGGTGAATGGTGCGAACGCGCTAAGTGGGTGGATGGTGCGAATGTGCTAAGTGAGTGGTAGGTGGGAAGGTGCTAAATGAGTAAAAGGGGAGGGGGTATTGCTAGGCTAGTGGATATCGGGAGAGAGGATTATGTACTAGGCAGTTTGAGGGTGGGGTGGTGCTTAGCGGGTTGATTAGTTGGTAATTAAGTGTTTTACGTGTTTACGTTCAGCATCAAGCATATTCTCAGTTTAGATGGTTATTTACCCTAACAATGTATGGTGTTACTGCCAATAGAAACCTAAGAATGAAAGACCCGCCTTACACGTTCTCACTTCCAACATTCCAAAAGAAAAATCGCATAACGAGAGTGGCTACTTACATCACTAAGGCGGTCTCTGGATATAGAACGTGGGGGTTCTAAAGGACCGTTGTGATGGTTGGTCAGGTGGTCCCCGCTGTTGACCATATGGTTGACCACAGGTTCCGTCTTGTTGCTGCTGTTCGAGGCTGTTGGGGGAACGTCACCCGAGTCACCATTGCTGTTCTCGATACAACTGTTCAGCACAGACGGCTGTGAGAAACAAAATAAAACAACCTTACAGGGTTACCTATATGGACGTTAGCGTCTATGGACAATTATTCCTGCTTACTGTTTAACATCACTACTCTATATATTACTATTCTGACCTGTGTTCTATTTCCCTATTGTGTTTGGTTATTATTGTCGTATGACAGTTTATCTGGCTATTCTATACTTTCCCCCTCTATGTCTCTTATGCTTCATGCCAGTATGTCTATTGTCATGCTACATGCCAGTGTATCTGGCTACTCTCTGTACTCCGCCAGGCTGTTGTAGCCGCCTACAAGTGTATCTAGCTCTGCTCTATGTTCCCAGTGCTCTACCCATCTCGGCCCTGTTTGCCTCCAGCTCTAACTGGCTCTACTCTACTCGCCCCCCGGCTCCATAAAGCCAGCCCGTGTTTGCCCAGTGTTGTAGACTAGGCGGTGTTGTGCTGGAAGAGATTCCCAGTGTAAACAGCACGCCATATGACGGCTTGTGAACAAAAGCCATTTGTATGCTTGTCCAGGCGTCGGGTAGCGCACATCTTGTAAGGGAGACCCGGGGGGGGGGGGGGGGGGTACACACAGACAGGTAAATAAACCCACAAGGAGAGTTTATCAAGCAAAGGTGGAATGTTCCACTTGATTAGCCCAACTGATGCGCCAGGAGGTTAGGAGTAGGTGTGTTGGAATAATTAGTCGACAGAAAACACACCAGCATAGCGGCTAATTAAAACAATGCACCTGTAATTCACACCACGACTGCTGATAGCATCGCGCTAATTAACATGATTGCATAATAAATAGACCCAATTTCATAATTCAGAAAAGTTTGTTTAAATTTAAATAAATATTCGTTTCAGAACATTATATTCTTTTTAAAGCAATAAAGTATGGAGGTTTTTTTTAGTTTGAAAATTGAAGCAAGAAACTATATTTAACAATTTTTAAAGAGAAACGAAAAAAAAAACGAAAATCTGGAATAAAAGTGGGGGAAAAAACGCGAGAGCAATTTTCTCGATCAACGTTACAAGGGAGGTAATTGCGCGAAAACTTAAAGGGTCGCGCTGCTATGTCGAGCCTGCCGCGCAACTCCAGTCAGGTGTTGGGAGGGCCTGTCATTGTTTACTGAGAGGAAGCCGACCGTTTGTGTTGATAGTGCCTCACAAAGTTGCGTCTATTTTTTCCCCAAACATGGCTTTGACATGATAATAATATTCTGGCACGTTGTTATCTAAAACAGCCTCCCCCTTTATTGATGTTTTAGCCAGTGATTTACCGGGGACTTGTAGCGTCATATTAAATTCGACAGGTTTAGCCTGGAGTACAGCTGCCTGCCTTCGACGCTGAACCCACGGCAGGTTTACAAACAAGAAATTCTGACCATCAATATCTTTTATCAAAAACTTCCGCACTAGGCTTTTAACAATAAACACATTTTCCCCCACACCAAAAGAAAAAAATGACGATTTATCTCTATCCCTCCTCCCTTTTCCAGATAACTGATTAAGAAAATAAACACTCTCAGATGTAAAGCTAGTAAATCTATAAAGTAATTAACTTTGCCTGTTAAGTAGATCTTAATTACCTGCACTACTCGCCTGCCAGGTATGTCAAGTATTTTAAACAAAAAGGGAAATAATTAACAACGGCAAACAGAAAGAAAAAAAATGCGATGAATAGACTTGGCTTTCAGCTGTTGTTTTAACCAGTTTTTTTCTTTAACGATGAGATGAAAGGAGGCTTTCAAACAAAACGGGGAATTACCGAATGGCATAAAATCTCGATGACTAAGTACCGATGAAACAAGCTCTAATTAAGATAGATAATGAATGAGACACCGTAGCGTAACGAGTTCATGCACTCCTAATTCAAAAATTAAGTCTTCAATGGGTTGTTGTCTTTTTTTTTTAAATACCCCCCTTAACCTATCCAACAGACATAACCCTTAGTGTTGACGCCCCAAAGCCATCTGTAATTACGACTACTAGCCCTGGTCCCCTGAATGGACCAGTCAATACAGTAGTGGGACGGTCTCGAGTGGAGCCACATAAAGGCAATGTCTTACGTGCTGATCAATGAATGCTCGACGCTTCAAGCTAGGGGAGTTGATATGCTTCAGCTTAGCGTATCAATCAATGGGGGGAACATCAGCTTTCGTGTGATAGCGTAACCTTTTTACCGCTAGAGTCAGATAGTGTTGCTGATAAATGGCTGCTAGATTCAACATGTCAACAAACTTTTATCTGACGATTATATTCTCTGACACCTGGTTTGGTGTGGGTCGGTCGTACGTAGCTAACGACAGCACATCAGACATACCATGTTTTTTAACAATTTGGATAATCTTTTGATTTATCATGTGGTAAAAAAACATTAAAGAGTTTGAATTAGATAGAGAATGGGTTTTAATGATAGTTTTTAGAAAAGCTTAAAGGTTAGAATATGGATCTGCTTAAAGGTCATGAGTTGGTATTAGTTAGGTTTATTTAAGAAAAGGGTAAGAACAACGGTTAAGTTCATATCAAATCAATCGCCATGAAAAAGCTACGCTTCGATGAACAAGACCTACATACCCGTTCAACAAGTCGATAAGTATACTTAAAGCCCCAAGCCTATGCCTGGAGTGTGGCGGTATCTACTGTAAGAGCAGGTCAGTGCAGATAAGAAACAAAAGTTGAAAGATTTAACTGGATTTTAAAAACGGACATTAAGGTGAGAAAATGGCTCACTTTACTGGCAACATTGATTTTGGTGGTCATTAAAGAATAAATGATGACAAAATTATCACAGTAAAAATTTCAACGCCTTCGCTTAATTGTAAAGTTAAATTACTTTTTTTTTTTTAAAAAAAAGGTAATTAAAAGTATTTTATAGTTTCTTCTGAAAATAAATTTGTCAGATCGGTAAAAGCTACGAATGTAAACTGTTGTCGCAACTATAAACAGCTCAGCACTAGCTAGTCTACGACCCAACGACAACAAAGTAAAACCAGTCTGTAGGTAAATCTTTCTTAGCTGTGCTAGTCATCACCGTCTACGTATGCTAGGCACGCACGCATATACTTACACATTTCACAACGCATATTCCCATTTGAAAAGCGCCACGTTTCAACTGTGTTGTTGTAATTTAAGTTGATATTTATAAAACTCGATATTTGAAGACAAGACCTGACATTCTATCCACCATTTATTTATATCAACAACAAAAAAAATGAAATATTGTGAAACTAATACATCGTCATAAAACAATTTTAATCGCCATTATGATTACGCATGCTCCGCTTTATCTAAACCGGATACGACATCAATACGAAAAACTTTAAAAAAAAACACTCCAGATTACGAGACTGGAATTACACGGCATAAACTTCATCTTTATAATCTCCCAGACTACACTGAAGCTTGGGGAAGTAACCAAGAATGCACATAAATCGCCATTAAGTTCGCCGACAGCGGGGACCTGAAATAAAGACAGGTTACTTTTTTCTGGGATCTCCAGAAACTCGGCTTCCAGATGTGTCGATTATTTCCCTTTCCATTCACGACCCGGGCCGTATTGATTTTCTCACACACCACCTACGTCACTCGGTACGCGGGCACATCATCTGCTAGACGTCTGGGTGTCACGCCATTCCTGGACGGTTGCTTAACGTTGTCTACACTATTAAACCTTCTGGCACGTTTTTTTTAAACATTTTATGGAGCTCTTTATATTTACGGTACGTGTTAAAATACACACTTTATAATCTCTTCTCAAATTTAGCGCCACGCATGAAAACGTTGGCTGCATAATCTTGATGATGAAACAGATACCATGCCCTGTCTTACCAGCCAAATGTGTTGCTGGTGTATCGGGTGTTTGTTTTAAAGCTTTGTGTCAGGGATATCTCACATTCTGCTCTTTGTTACAGCTAAATACTGGAGATCAACCTTCTCACAGGCGGAGAAATCAAAGGCATGGGATACACAAAACAGACTAGTTGGAATACTGGAGAAATCAAAGGCATAGGATACACAAAACAGACATCGCAGTACGCACATCGAGACATCGCAGTACGCACATCGAGACATCGCAGTACGCACATCGAGAATACTTCAAAGCATTTCTAATTTTAAAATATACACAACTAAAAGGAAACCATCAGAGTAGTTTATTAATCCGAACAGGACTTTTAACACGCTTTACGGACTCTGGGACACATCTATCTATATATATAATTCTCTTCTGGGAGCCGTTAGAAAACAAGCTGCAAGCGCCTCCTTGCAGTCCACTCTCTTTCTCTTTATCACTATCACTACCACCCCCACCCCACCCCCACATTGTCTGGTGAGCTGTGGTCACGCTAAATGTTTACAAAGCTAATTGTTTACAAATCGTAGAGCCGGGTTTCTATTAGGGGCAGATAATTTAGTTCGATTTTAAACTTACAGGAGGTAACTAAGAAATAACTAAGAGGAGGCTGCTTTCACGGGGGGGGGGGGGGGTGTAGGGTCGGGGTTAGGGGAAAGGGGGGGGGTTAGTGTTTTAAAGCAAATATTTTCAGTGGCAGCATTGGTATTGTCGAATTCACAAATTATGAATTATTGAAAAGTAGAAATTAAAACAACTAAATAGCGGCGTATGATACGCTGCGGGTCGGCTCGTATGCATTAAGCCAGCTCCACAGAGGCCAAGACGGCTATAAGTACATCGACATAGCAGTTCGCACATCCAGACACAGACGTACTCGTGCCGTGTCATTGCAGTACGCAAATCGAGTCACTGCAGTACGTACACCGAGATACTAGTACGTACATCGAGACACTGCATTACGCACATTGAGACATGGCAGTACGCACAATGAGACAGTGCAATACGCAAATCGAGACACTGCAGTACGCACATCGAGACATTGCATTACGCGTGTCCAGACAGTTGAATAAACCCATGACGCACATGGAGACATTGCAGTACGCGTGTCCAGACAGTTGAATAACCCCATGACCAAGACAGCCAGCCAGAACACCT